TGACTGGGCACGTTCTGGCTTGTCACACAGCTGCAGGTGGCTGCTAAACACCCTGTGCCCGGGGACAGTCCACGTGGCAAAGGTGAGCAGCCCAAGGTGTCGCTGGTGCCCAGACTACAGGGGAAAGGTCTCCCTGTGAACCTTGGTGGACACGGGGGAAACACAGTGTCCTTCCATACCAAAGGCACCGCCCCAAGGAGGCAAGGGGTGGAGAGCAGGGCGGGAGACCACCCGCACCACCAGGCGGACCAGTAACTGTTCTGTTCACGCCCTCGCACGGCCACGCGAACGCACACCCGTTTCTATAATTTAGAATATCATTTTTAAATGGCTTCTGGGAGAAGTTCTCCCAAGTACATCTTCTCTGACGGCCATGGTGAGACAGATGCAGGAGGAAGGCAGGTGTCCACTCTCTCCCTCCTCGTGGCAGCCACTGCCACTGGTTTCTGGACCCTCCCTTATTCTTATCTTCCAGTTAGCCTTCCCCTTCTCATTCCTCACTGAGCGGCCCCAACGATATTCACTGACCCCTACTCTCTGCTCAGCTCCACTCTACAACTGGGGCATAGCATGGAGCAAGACATGCCAAAGCTCACATTTAACGAGAGGGGACACCRGCAGGCAGCAAATAATAAAAATGCAGAATAATTCTAGGTCAGCAGGTGCTATGAAGGAAAATAAAACAGGGTGCATTAGCCTGTTTTCTATGGCTACAATGAAATACCTGCAGCTGGGTACTTTATAAAGAAAAGAGGTTTTTAGCTTGCAGTTTTGGAGGCTGGAAATTGCAAACAACACGGCACTGACTTTGATTTGGGGTCCCTGACTGTGTCATGTCATGGTGGGGGGCACCTGGCGGAAGCACATTCGAGAGGAAGAGATGACGTGGAAACTCTGGGACAGGTCACTCTCCAGGGAACTACCAGGGTCCCACTGAATGACACTGATGCCTTCCAGGGGCAGGCCCCCTGTCCTCACTACTTCCTGTGGGGCTGCACCCCTGAGGACCCCAGCCCTGAACATCCCCACACCAGGAACGAGCTTCTAAGACCTGAACTGTAGGGGAGAACCCACCCCACCTACAGCACAGGGTCCGGGAGGGAACGGGTGGGTGGGTTGGGACTGGGCAGTCAGGGAAGGCTCTCAGGAGGCAACACTGGAATGGGGACCAGAAAATGCTGCAAGGGACTTCAGGCTGAGAAAGAGCTCTGTGAAGGTCCCGAGGCCGGGGCGCACGCGGACTCTCTAACGAGCAAGAAAGTGGGGGAGCTGGAGGAGAGCCGAAGACTCCCCAGACACTGGAGCTGGCACACAGCCGCGTGGCCGCGGGACGGGAAGCCACTCTTCTGCTCTAACAGGGGCTCACACTGCTGCTGGGTGAGGCCTGCACCCAGGAGGCCAGCGAGAGGTGGAGGCTTGGTCGGGTGGCAAGGGGTGACAAGATGCAGCAACCTCCCAGAGCTGAGCGGCCTCCAGGTAGCTCCTTCCTCGGGTCCATCTCCAGACAACAGGACGCCTGAGAGGGTAAGTGCGCTCCCCACAGTCACAGGCCTGATTGCAGCCCATGCCCATGCTTCCTGCTGGCCTTACCCAGCCGCCCCAGCCGTGATGGCAACTTGGAAGACTGGCGGGGAAGGAGCCGCGGAAGGTGGTCCTGGCCAGGTTCCAAATAAAGACCAGACCCAAGGGGCTTCCCTGGCTCTCTGCAGCATGGGACACCCCAACTGCTGTGGTCTCCCTCTGAGACTCCCCCTTCCCGGGTCCTGGTCCTGCTCCAGCCCCCCTCCCTCCCCAGCTCCTCCCCAGTCTCCCTGACCCCCACCACCCTGCCATCTCACTGTGTCTTCTCGGCTCACCCTCAGAGGAGACCAGGAGCAGCCTCCTCAGCTGTCCACCCCACACTCTGCCTTCGCCCTGCGTTTCCTCTGGAGAGCCCCAACTCCACCCACCCACTGCCTCGGTGGACATGGACACAYGACCTCTGCCCCCCATCAGCCTCATCCAACTGCCTGTCACTGGGGCAGAGCGGAGGGGCCCAGCAGACCACTGCTGGTGGCCCGGAGAAGACGTTCCAGTGGACAGGCACCTGCAGGTCCCCTTGCCCTCTCGGGGAGCCCGAATGCCAGGGGCCACCTCATGGAGCGTTAGGAAGGTCGACACAGAAGGTGAGAACGTGGGTCCCGAGGAAAGCACTTGAACCCTGAACCCACCAGGAGCCAAGCGTAGTGGGGCCCCTGTGGCAGCCAGTGACCTTCCTGTCGGCGTCAGTCCTTGTGGACTGGCTTTCCTACCTCTTGTCGGAGGAAGGGGCCTTTTGCATGAGATCCCGCCTGTCTCCTGAGCTCCCTCGCTCAGCCCATTAAACCCCAATGACTCCAGACTCGCCATCGACATCCTGGGCAGCACGCCAGCGCCCAGAGTCAAGTCACCCACCTGCTAGATGTCTCCTCCCAGGTGCCACCCGGGCACCCGGAATGAGACTGGTACAAAGCGGAATTCGGCATCTCTGCTTCTACCTTCCCAATAGGCTCTTCTCCATGTTCTTGTCTGTCCTAGAAAAAGCACCACCAACCACCCAGACTCTCCAGACAGACAGCTAGGGTGTCCTCGWCGGCCTTGCCAGGTAACCCCAGCAGAGCTACGGCCCCGACTGACACTTTCTGACTGTGTGGCCTTGGGTAGACTAACGAACCCCTCTGAGTCATGAATTTCCACGCAGACTCTCCAGTGGTCTGTTCCACTCCCGTCACAGATGTCCAGGCCACCACTAAATTCTAGCTCACAACTTCGTGCTCACCGCCATCACCCAGCTCAGAGCCTCACCCTCTCCCCGCCATCAGCACCAGATGTTTCCATCCCGTTGTCTTCACTCGCGCCCCCACTCAGTCTGTCCTCCCCACTCTTGCCAGACTGAAGGTTCCGCTCAGCCTGATCACGCACGCCACTCCCCACACCTGCAGAAGGTACTCACTGGGGACACCCTGCCCCTCTGCTGCCCCACCATGCCCCGGCCTCCAAGTGCTCGTGTGGCTGCTCCTGGGCCACCCGGGACGTGCACTGGGCCGTCCAGCCCGCACCACCCTAGCTTCTGCTCTGTGTGCCGGGGAGAGCAGAGAAACCCAAGAAAACAGACTGGCTACAGAAGCCCATGGGCAGACGCAAACCCCATCTACCTGTGGTCCCAGAGCAGAGGGARACCCACAAAGGAAGGGAAAGAGGCAGTAGTGCAGGATACTGTAGATGCAGAACAGCGGAGACAGGAGAGAGAGGAAGAGCAGATCAGGGAAACTTTGATATAGGGAAATCTGAAATAGGAGACTTCCCTAAACAAGCAGAAAACTTGAAGCCACAAAGAAAAATGACACCGATTTAACATCATAAAAATTAAATAGTTCTGCACCATAAAAGGTACAAGAGGTAAACTGAAGACATAGAAACAAGATGCCTGATTTACTAACAAGAGGTGAGAATGCAGAAAGAGCCTCACAAATTCATGAAATTCAACAGAAAAATAGACAAATGATTTGACCAAACAATTAGAGAAAATATAAATTGATTCAAGGTTTTTTAAAAAGAGTAAACTTGGAAGACTCTCAGCCTTTAAAATGCACATGACTGATATGGCATAGTCTCCAAGATCTAGATGAAGCTTCTAAAAGTCTATATTATTGAAAGAGGGAAAAAATGAAAGATCCTTCCCACCCACCCCCGTAGGTACATGGATTCTCTCTGAAAGAATAAACAAAATCTGKCAAGATTAATTGTATCCCCAAAGGAAAACAGAGGGCTGGTGAACAGGAGGGGAGGGGGATGTTACCTTTCATGAACTTTCAGTGTTGTACCTTTAAAATATACTATCTCCAAACAAGTACTAAACTAAATAAGCTAATTAATTAAATTTCTTTTTCTGCACAATCTCTAAGACATCAATAAATAAAGAGAACTCTGCTTAAATAATAGTTTAAATGTGCATTCTCTTCAACAGCCAATTTCACTGCTAGGAACAATTTCTACCTGGAAAGACTCTCTGCATGCACATAGATCAATAATGGTACAAAGACAGGGTTGGAAACAATCTAAGAGTCCATGGACAGGGAATGTTTAAATAAATTATAATGAATCCRTACTATAAAATACTATGTTGCCATTAAAAAGAATGAATGAAAACATCTATTACTGATACTGAAAGACTTCCAAGTTATATTGTTAAATTGAAAAAGCAAACCACAGGGCGTTATTATATATGTCCCACATTTATGTATGTTTAAAAGTATATATTCAAAGGATATATCCACTACATTCCGGTTGGTCCCACAGTTATAACTGAAGATAATATTATTGTATTATGTCCTATCTAACCAGGTGTGGTGATGCACACCTGTAATCCCAGTGACTCAGGAGACAGAGGCAGGAGGATTGCAAGTTGAAGGCCAAGGCAATTTAGTGAGACCCTATGTCAAAATAAAATTTAAAAATAGGGCTGGGGTGTAGTTCAGTGGTAGAGCACCCCTGGGTTCAATCCCCAGCACTTTGCGATAAAGTAAAATAAAGAATTGAGTCATGAGGTCAACCCTTCTTCGGGCAGCAGAGCTGATGGCTATCTCTAAGTTGTTGGTTTTCTTTTTTTTTCTTAAAGAAAAGCTGCATGAAGACACCATTCCTTCCCTCCAGTCAGCCTTTAAGGCAGTTTGGAAAGACAGTGCTTCCAAAGGGTGGACCAGAAGCTGCCCACCGGCAACCTGCGGCCGGGGCCAGCCTGCGCACACAGTTCAGCTACCCTGTACGTTCTTCAGAATGTTGAGTTAGTTGACGGATTTAAAAATATGGAACTTTTTTCCATAAAAAAAATTCGCAGTTTCTCCGAAACTCTGAGCAGGGAACACTGAGCGTGGAGCCCAGAGGGCAGGCGCTTGGGCTGCGTGGGTGGGTGGGCCGTCCTGCGGGGAGCCTCAGCACCACCCTCACTACCTACTGGCGAGGGGTACCCCACAGAACGCTACCTCCTTTGGCTGCCGGTTGGGTCGGTTCCAGTTCAGCCCATTCTGTGTTCCACAACCCAGACGCAGAACGCACGCCCCTCTGACGGCTGGGCGTCCCGTTGCCAGTGCGCGAGCCTGCAACACAGAGAGATGGATTTGGGGTACTCTGAGACCTTGGATTTAGTTTCAAAATGCCAAGAGGGCTTCTTTCTGAGGGGTCACTGTTTCTGGAAAGCAGGGAGAAGTCCTGAGTTCAGGGACCCCCGTGTGGAACCCGAAGGCCAGTAGAGCAGTGCCCAGTCAAAAGTCCTGGCCTCCAGGGCAAGCTGGGCAGTTTCCTTGGCCTCTCCCGAGTCTCAGTCTCCTCGCCCACGAAAGAGCTGGTGGGACGTCAAAGGTCACAGGGCTGTCCTGAGACTGAATCAAGAAGCTGTAGCTGAAAGTGCTTTTCAGCACCTCACAGGTACAAGGAGGCGCCCTCTGAAGAAGTGATGGGGCCACGGCTGGCCTCCAGTTAGTGGATGAAGAGCCCTGTCCGGGGCCTTCACCTCTCCACTGGCCTGCGGTGAGCACGCTGTCCAGAGCTCCAGGGGAGGCCGGGGTCCGGAGGCCGGGCCGCACTGGCTGCCGGCTCTACCGGGAAGGGGGCAGGGATGCGGTGAGACCCGCTGGTCTCGGTGTCCTCCCTGGACAGATCCTGCACACTCACACCACCTCCCTACTTCACAGCGGGGGGTCGGAAGACCCGCTGTTGGAGCACTGTGCAAAACGGAGGGAAGGTACAAAGACAAAATGCAGCCTTTCACAGCCCTGAGCGGTGCCACCGCCCGCTGCGTGGTCACTGGGAGCCGACCCATCGGACGCTCCAGACATCACCCCAGCCCTCCAGCCCCCGTTCGCACCCCACGCGCCTTAGGCCGAGCGACCCCGACCCCCAGCCCACCGAATCTTCCGCGAAGTAGATCTGGGGGGCGGAGGCATCCACCCCGGCTCCGGGCGACTCCAGGGCGCTCTCGCCGCCAAGGCTCGGGACACTGAGCCCCTGGTCCCCTCCCAGAGAAGGGGGCTCACCTGTCCTCGCGGATCCCACCGAGGGCCGCGGCCGCCTCGCCCCACGCCCGATCCCGGGGCGGAGTGCGGAGCCCCCGGCCCCGGGGGGCGCGACCCTCCTCGCCGAGTCCGGGCGCGCACCGGCTGTCCCCCTCCCCGAGGACTTGTGGGGGCCCGGGGGCGCCGGGGAAACGGCGGGCTGCACCCGCGGGTGGGTGCGCCTGGGCGGCCCCTGGCCGAGGGAGGGGCGCCCCGGGCCCCACAAAGAGCTGCAGCGCCCCCGGGCCCGGCGCGGCGGCCGGGGACAGCCTCCGCGGGGACCCTCGCCCGCTCGGCGCGCTGCCCGCGGCGTCCCCGCGGCCCTGGTCCGGCCCGCGCTCTCCCCGGGCCCGGCCGCCGCTCCCTCCCGGGCCGCGCGGGACGCGGGTCTCGGGTTTCAGCTCCGCCCGCCGCCCCACGCGCCCGCCGCCCGGAACTAGGCGGCCGCCCGCGCCCCACGCGCCCGCCGCCCTTTGTCTCCGCGCCTGGTCCCTCCCGCCCCGGCGCCGCGGCCCTTCGGACTCCTCCCGGGCCGGCTGCCGCCCATCCCCGTCCCCCGTCCCCGGGCGTCGCGGGCCGCTCACCTTCCACGCCGACCAGTCGGTGCCGTCCGCCCGGCGCTGGCGGGACCCGGGGACACGGCGCAGGGCCGCCSCCGGCCAGTCCGGCAGGAGGTGGGGGGGCGGTGGTGTAAACCGAGTTACGACGCGGCCGCCTCCCCCCGGACCCGAGGCCTGCTCCCAGGCCACCAGGGCGCCTCCCCCCGTCCYCTGCCGCGCCCCGCTTTTCTGCCTGTCCCCAGCCTCCGGCGTCCCCGACGCATCGGTCTGGGGGTGGGGGGAGTTGAAGCCAGCCGTGCAGCTGCTACGAAAAGAGAAAACCTGAAAACGCAGCCGAACAGTCAGCTAGGAAGTTCCAAAGCCCAGCCCTCAACTCCAGCAGAAAAGGGCTGCCTGCTCTGGGCAGGGCTTCAACTCCCCCGGATCCGTCGGCTTTAATAAACGCATTAATTATGCTCTTGTCTACAGAGTGATACCATCCGTTGGAGCGGCTTCCTTGTTATTATTGGGCCACTGAGGCACCATTTAGAACAATAATTTACTCTCTAGCACCTGCCGAACACCCAGACTGCTTAAGGGACAATCGGGATAATGAGGAGGAAAAAAGGAAACGGATGCCTTACTATTCCCGTGGGATAGATGCTTTATTTGGTCAGAAGCTGGAGCTGAGCTCCTTTTAAAGTCTAGGTCACCCAGCAAGCCAGATGCTTGAAGCAGCTCAAAGCAGGCTGTTCTCAAGAGTATCTCAGACATTTGTTCTGAAATCCCTGGTTATTGATTTAATTTACACTGACTCAGTCGCCAGCTCAGCTCTGGGGGAGTTCCTTAGCCTTCTTGAGTCTCACCTTAATCATTTATAAAATGGGGACCCTCATACCTGCTTATTGGTGGGGTTGAAAAGGTTAAATGAGATAGCACAAGTAAATCTCCCAGTGTCATGGAGTCTGAGGACTAAGTCCTTTTGAAAGTGAGTATTCAAAGGAGACCAGAAACTATATGCCACAGACCAGCGCTGAGGAAGTGAGAATCCAAGGCAAACAAGCCCGGCTCTTCCAGCTCCCACTCCCTGCGAGATGCGAGAGATGTCCTCTACACTCAGCAATCTTCCCAGCTTACTCTATTTCATTTTAAATCCTTCAGTGGAAAGCATATTTTTCCTCCTGCTCATTATCAAATATATTATTAATCACAAAGATGTTTTACCCCAGAGCTCATGGCCTCAGAACTCACCATGCATTCAGGGATAGAAATTGCTGCCAAAGAACTCATGTTTCCATTGCTCTCTTAAGATTGTTCCTTTTTTTCTTCTAGAGCTAATATCAAGCTATGAGCAGCATTTGGTTAGATGCAAATAGAAGAATTGTTATTAAAGTGTTTCACTATATGTGTAGGTGACTATATATAAGTAACTGTTGTGTGAAAAAACACAATACTGATTTTGTGCAAGAATATAATTTCTTTTTCAAAACAAGAAACAAGGGCTGGGGATGTGGCTCAAGCAGTAGTGTGCTCGCCTGGCTTGCATGCAGCCCAGGTTCAATCCTCAGCACCACATTCAAAGATGTTGTGTGTGCCGAAAACTAAAAAATAAATAAATATTAAAATTCTCTTTCTTTAAAAAAAAAAAAAGAAAGAAACAAGAAATTCTCCTCCCCCATCTTTTTTTTTCTTTTCATTTCTTTTCTTTTTTTCGGTACCAGGGAATGAACCCAGGGGCATTTAACCACTGAGCACATCCCCAGCCCTTTTTATGTTCTATTTAGAGACAGGGTCTTGCTAAGTTGCTATAGGGCCTTGCTAAATTGCTGAGGCTGGCTTTGAACTTTCAATTCTCCTGCCTCAGCCTCCAGATCTGCTGGGATTACAGGCTTGCGTCATTATACCCAGCTCCAAAATTGGTTTTAGAAGCCATTCTTTTGAAGGATCCTCCAAAGACTTCTTCATTAGGATAATAACAGGCCTCGTCCAACTGAATCCCAAGTGTGTGTTGAAGAATCCACCTTTGATGAGACTTCTTATTATATAAAATGTCACTTCAGTCCCTCAGGCCACAAAAACTAGCACGAGTACCCCCCATCCGCTCTCCAGGCCAAGGCATCCTCCCTGACCCCATGGCAGCTGCAATGTGCCCTCCCCAGAGAAGTCTTCCCTGAGCAGTATGAGAGGCTCCTCAACACCCTATCCCCCCACCTTGGCTCCCTGTGCTTTTTCTTTATAAAACGCCTCCCAATTTACAATCTAGTCCTGTTTGTTTCTGAGCCTTGGCTTGCAGGAGGCGTCCCCTGGTAAACTGCGGGACAGCAGGTCCTCCCCGGAGTTTGCACAGAGCTTTCCCTCTCGCCCGGGCAGAGCCAGGGCCCAGCCTCACATAACTTTTAAAATGAATGATGACAAAAATAAAATAAATGCTATCTTCAGGAACCTCTGGTCCGTAAGCTGCAGGACATGGAAGAATCGCCTGACATTTCTCAGATCAACACCACAGGCACGTGCAACAGAGAGACGTTTAATAAGTTGGACTCCATCGTCAAGAAAGTGAAAAGAGAACCCCCTGCCCTGGGGGTGGTGTGTGAAGMGGGTCCCAGGCCCCATTCACAGGGCGGTGCTATTCCGCATCTGTTCCCTCCCTCCTTCCCTCTGCCACAGGGAGCACACCCTCAAATTTCCTTTGGGAAACCACTGCTTCCTCTGGGGTCAGCCACGGGGTTCGCACCATGTGGGCCTCTCCCCAGCTCCAGAGTTGGGCTCTGCGGCCAGCGTCTCCTGTGTTCAGCCGCCTTGGTGGTTCAGGTTAGGAGGCAGCCTCCAGACTCTCTGGGCAGAGGGAAGCCTCAGGGACATTTTGCTGAGGACACTGGACAGCTGGACGTCTTGTCTTGRTGGCTGTAAATGAAGCCTGTGGCTCTAGCTTTGGGCAGCCACTGTTGGACTACAAGGAGAAGCCAGCCCGAGCAAAGCCCAGACTTGCAGAGCACAGAAAAGGAGGGCAAGCAGAACCACTCTGCCTCGGGGTGTGTGCAGTTGAGCACCGTTTCTCGTTTCTCTGACAAACCTGGCCGCTCAGGGTCAGGGCCCAGAACACTGCATCACACCCCCGGGGCCCACGGCTGGTGCCGATGCCTGGGACTCCATGTTTGACCTTCCAGGGGATCCTTTCTTCTTTCATCATATCCTTTATGTAAGCAGTTTTCTGTTCTTTCTTGCTTCCAGAAAATGCTGGAGGAATCCTACAAAGAAAGACACAGACCCAATGTGGCTGATGAAATAGCTCTATCGAACTGAGACCCAGGCACGAGGAAGAGSGGGCAAACGCACCTCTCGGGGAGCTCCTCCCTGCTTTAGGATCTGTACCTCTTACCTGGAATCATAGCTGTACCTAACCCACTGGATGCTGGTGAAGACAGGCCCACACAGTGCAGGGAAACAGCATACACAGCAGGCATCCAATAAATGCAGGTGCCCTGGGCACACGTGGGCACACATGAACACAGGAACGGGAGGTAGACTGTGCACTAGCTCCTACAGGAATCAAATGATTCCAGAACTACAAGGCATTTAGAATAGGGACTGGCACTTAGGGCCACATCAGTGTTAAATAACAAAGTAGGGGAGGCAGGTCAGGGAGATGGGGTCCTGCTGAATTCGTGAGAGGTAGATATCTGGCAAGAAATAGATTCGAATACTTCCAAGTCTAGTAGAGAAACTGAATAAGGCTGTTAAAAACCACTAATGGAGATCACTTTTGGAAGCGACTCCTAATGGAGATCACTTTTGGAAGCGAGTCAAGTTTCTGCACTGCAGCCTCTCCGGCTCCTCCTAAGTCAGACCTGTGTGTGCAGGGCACACTTCTGGGAGCTGGCAGGAGCGCCTGGGGGGCAGGAGTGGACTCACTGAAAGAGCACTGAGCTTTCCCCCAAAGCTGGTTCAGCCAGTGGGAAAGGATGGCCTCTGAGGTATTTCCTTAGTTTTAAAGTAAATGAGACTTCTCTCTTACTGTCTTTATTAGTAATATGGAAATACTTATTTTCTAAAATTGCACATTCACTAGTAATATTATTTACAAATAGGGCTGGGCCTAGAGCTCAGTGGTAGAGTGCTTGTTTACTATGTATGAGACCCAAGATTTGACCCCTCAAACTTCCGCCCCACACAATTTACAAATAACTTGCTTCACAATTCCTTTCTTTATAATTAAAGGCAAACTAATCCAGTTCCTTTCCCAAATATGTCAAACAAATTAAGAAATTTTGCTAGAATAAAAAAGAAATATCTCTAGGTAGTTAACATCTCTAAAAACCAATGAAATAAGAGCTATGTTGACATGAAAAGTTGTCCATGATATAGTAAATGAAAAAGCTCCCCAAAATGTAAAAATAGTACAACTGCACTTTTATAAAGTGTGTGTGCACCTGTGCATGTTCTGTTGTTTTGTTTTGTGTTGTTTTGTTTTTTGTGGTGCTGGGGATGGAATCCGGGTCCTTAGAAATCCACTAGTAGAAAAAATGGAGACTGAGACAGAGATTAACGACGAGGGTCAGAGATTTGGTTGGTCACGTTGTTTGCTACGTCGTCTATTGGTCATCCAGGGAGGGATGATGGAAAGAGGTATGAGACAGATGTAAATGCGGGATCTTCAGGGGAACTGAGTTGTGGCTCAGTGGCAGAGCGCTTGCCTGGCATGTGTGAGGCCCTGGGTTTGATCCTCAGCACCACATATATATATAAATAAAGATCTATTGACAACTAAAAAATAGTAAAAAAGAAAAGAAAAAAAAAYCTGCGGGCTCTTCAGCGTACAGATTGCCTCTAGGTTACTGGACTTGGTGAGGTTATTCATGACCTTGACAAGAGGGTTTTGCAGAGTACGAGGACCAAAGCCCAGTTGGACCGAGCTTAATAGTGATGAAAGGAGAGAAAGTGGATGAGCACAGAAAGTGTTTGAGGAGTTTTAAAAGTAGTACGACTCCATTTTCATAAGGTGTGTGCGCGCCTGTGCAAGATCCCAGGTATGGCCTGGCGTGGAAGGGGGCGCCAAGAGCAGGTTTTCCTCCCTTCCTGCCCCTGGAAATGGAAGCCAGGGCCCCCTGCATGCGAGAACCGGTGCTCCTGCACAGAGCCACAGCCCTGGCCCTTGTTTTCTTCTTACAGAGAAGACAACAGCATGTTTCCGCACTGATAGTAACAATCACGGAGAAAGGATGGAGGAGAGAGAGGGGAAAGTGCTGGCAGGCGGCCAGACTGTGTCTGGTGCAGGGTTGGCTGAGGCAGGGCAGGGACAGTCATCGGGGTGCTGGGGGGGCCCTGGGCACTGG